TCGTCAGCAAAAGCTCTAAGTTTATAGTTATTCTTGCCCAAAGTTATTCCTTTTATAGTTGATGTTTCTCGAACCTTAATTAATAAAATCTCCAAAGTCAAAATAAACAACAAAGGTGATAGAGGGCATCCTTGTCTCGTGCCTTTTTCAATTTTGATTGCATCTGTCAAATCTCCATTCACAATAACTTGTGCTGATTTGAGATTGATAAATAGCCTTCAACGCAGACAAAAATCTAACCCCAAAATTCATTTTATCAACCACACCAAACAAGAACCGCCAATCCAATTTATCAAAGGCCTTTTCAGCATCCAAAAAGATAAGAGCCGCCGGAATTTGATTATTTTTGTCCAAATACTCCAACAAATTTACTATTTGTCTAACATTGTTCTTCATATACCTACCACTTATAAATCCAGATTGATCCATATGTATAATCTTTTGTAATACGTGCATCATTCTATTAGCCAAAATTTTTGCAAAAATCTTGTAATCCGTATTCAATAAGGATATTAGTCTATAATTTTTAGGCTGCGATAAATCTTGATCCTCCTTTGGTATAAGTGAGATAAAAGCAGACCTCCAGGATGGTGGTATCTCTTCTCCTAATAAAATATCATTAAAAAGACTCTTCAAAGGCTCTAGCATTTCCTCCGACAAAGTTCTATAATAAATTGCCGTCAGTCCATCAATACCAGGAGCCTTTCCAGCCTTCAGTTGCTTAATTGCCTCTAGTATTTCCTCCAGAACAATTGGAGAGTTCATCATCTCTTTTTGATCGTCTGTCAATCTAGGAAAGTTTGCTTGTTGTAAATAATTATCTATTTCAAGAAGTTGTATGTTTTCCGAAGAATATAGCTTTGAAAAGTATTCCAAAAATGCCCTTTTAATCAAATCCTGTTGAAAAACCTCTTTACCCTTATAATTTATTTTTCAAATAAGTCTTTGTTTTTGCTTCTTTCGTATTTGATAAGCTAACCATCTTCCTGGTTTATTTGCATTACAAAATGTGTTATGCTTCATATATTGTAAACTAACTGCAGTCTGTTCAGCCAGTAACATATTAAATTGTTCTCTCAATGTTGCAATAGATATCTTTAATTTATTATCCATTGGATTCAAAATAAAAGCTTTTNTAGATGGTACTTCTTTCAAAAGTATAATGTCTTGTGCAGCTATCTGAAATCTCTGATGATAAAAAGCCTGTATAATATCATTGCGACGTGTCTTTCTAGAAAAATAAACAACAACATCCCTAGGCTGGTTCTTCTGACGTGCGACCCATGAATTTACTCTATATATTTTTTCAATTTCTCCAAAGATAATTTCAGGATTGCAGTCAAAAACCAGGGCAAGTGCAGCTGATATTTCCTCTTTAAGTTTTTCCTGTAGGTCCTCTTTTAACCCTCTAATTCTTATGGCATGTTCCATCTCTCTAAATTGGGACATCACATTATCATTTTGTAGTATCTGTACTTCTTCTTCAACCTTTCCCATTCTCTCCTCCATTCTCTCCTTCATCCCCTCCATCTTCTCCCCCACATCATCTATACGTTCGTCTATACGGTCCACATGAGAAGTAAAACCTTGAAAGATTTGAGATAAATTCTCACACAATTCATCATTTTTATTTACAAGAAGTTCCTCAGTTTCCACTCTCATTTGCTGTATAATTTGCTGTGTTTGTTGTGTCATTTGTGTTGAGAGCTGTGCCAAAGAATCTTGTAAGTCCTTGAGAGTAATATAAGGAGGAGGAGAGGGTGGGGGTGTTTTAGCTTTCTGCTGTGATGTTTGTACAGCTGGGGATGAAGCAAGAGCTTTAGGTACTGCAGAGGTTCCACGTTTAGAAGCCATTATAACTTGTAGATAATTATAAAATTTTCTTAAAAAGTATCAAAAGTCCATGCAGAACAGCAGTCATTTAGTTAGAATTTTTCTAATTTTTTTCTTCAATTTTTCTGTATTTTTTACAGTCTGTTACAATGTAGCAATCCACAACCGGAAGAGAAGTGAAAGTTTTCCTTTAGAACAAAGAAGCGGTTTAACCGCAGCCATTTTTTTCTTTAAGTTTCACTTTCAACTTAAACAATACAGAAGATATCTTTAAAAAGATCGAGTTAGAGTTGAAACTTTATCCAAAAAATCCAGCATTCCTGGTAAGCTCTGTCTATTAGAGCTTTACTCACAGTTCAAATCTTTAGCATTGGAGGTGGAAACGGCGTCTTGCTTCGTTAGAACGAAGACGTCCCGATCTATGGAGATGGCTGTGAGCTCCGGCGGAGTTCACACCTACATCTCCCCGAGAGCCCTCAGGGAGACTAGGGAACTCTACGCCTACTCACCAGCAGCTCACCTTCTTCCCTTTGCCCGAGAAGAAGGCTGAAGCCGGCAAACAGCTGATACGCGCTGTTTTGCCGGCTTTTACATAGAATGCTGACGGGAGGCTGTCAGATTGCCTCCATCGGCCGCCGGCAGCCACCGGAAGTTCCTTTTCAGTTCTTTTGAGCGTGTTCTTATTTCTAAGTACACTTAAGCCTGCCCACTTACTAGCAGGAATTTCACATAGTCCTGCAAATACTTTGGTGGGCCTCTGGCCCGCTCTGATCTTCTTAGAGCGGTTGCAAGTGCCCGGTCTACAAGCTCGCCTGCCAGGCTCGGCAGACCAGGACTTGAATGCCCACTATGTACAGGCGAACCCACATCATGCTGACTGGCCGGGTCCTGTAAACCCAGACCAGAGTTCCTTGGTGGGGTGGAATTCCCCAGGTCCACGACAGACCCCTCTTGGGAGCAATGTCCCGTAGGCACAAGGCCAGCAGATGGAGTGGCCTGAACAGCTGGTTGTGTGCAATTTTCCATGGACCCAGTGCCAGAGTCAGGAGCCGCCTCGTTGGCACAACTCCTCTATGCAGAGTGCAACCCCCTGCTTCTGCAAGAAGACTGAGATCCACGATCGCCATCGTGGTCCTCCTCCCCCCCGAGAGCAGAGTTAGGAGCGGAAGTTTGACTGGGTAGCCTCCAGCACAGCTGGTCAATGTGCCGACGTAACACACGACCATCGTCCAGGGCCACTTCGGATGACAGCGGCCCAGTGACTTTGCAGACCACTGCTGTCACCCAGAGATGTCCGGGTCCATAGTTCCTTGCCCAAACCGGATCGCCCATCTGTAGTCTCCTAGGTGCCTGCGGCTATGACACCTGTGAAGCCACCCGGTCTGGGTGCAATCTGTCCAGTTTGGTAAGGAGACAGCGACCCCAGCGGAGTTCAGCTGGGCTTTTCCCAGTAGCTATGCAAGGTGTGGTGCGTTGGCAAAGAAGAAAGTCAGCTAACCTGTGATGCCAGCTTCCATGAGTAAGCCTCTTCAAGGCATCTTTGGTTGTGCGCACCATGCGCTCAGCTTGGCCGTTGGAAGCTGGATGGAAAGGTGCCGAAGTAGCGTGCCGGATTATGTTGGCCTGGAGGAAAGCCTGAAACTCAGAAGAAGTGAATTGAGGTCCGTTGTCGGAGACAAGAACATCTGGCAGCCCATGGGAGGCGAAGATGCCCCTCAACACCTGGATGGTCCTGGCAGTCGTCGTAGTGGACAGTGGAACGACCTTTAGCCATTTAGAGTGACTGTCCACAACGAGGAAGAATTGCCCCTGAAAGGGGCCAGCGTAGTCGATATGAACCCTCGACTAAGGAGCATGTGTTTCCTCCCACCTATGTACAGGAGCCTGTGGCATTTCAGGCCTAGACTGTTGGCAAACCTGGCAACCCTGGACCTGGGTCTCCATCTCCTTATCAAGCCCCGGCCACCAGAGATAGCTGCGCGTCAGAGCCTTCATCCGGACTATGCCCGGATGTCCCTCATGCAGAGATTGCAAGACTCTAGTCCTCAATGAGGTTGGGATCACTACCCTACTTCCCCACAGGACACAACTCTTAAAGGTGGATAGCTCATGCTTCCTTTTCCAGAAACTCTGGAAGGTAGTGCCAGGACACGTGTCAGGCCAACCTGACAGCACCCATGTCAACACACGTGTTAACGTGTGATCATTGGCTGTTTCTGCAGCCACATCCCTTGCATTGAGGGGAGACTCAGGCAAATCCTGAATAGCTAGTATGTGGTTAGCTGGAGCAGGATCTGATTCTACAAGCTGTAGAGGCAACCTGCTAAGGCCATCTGCATGGCCCATTTCTTTGCCAGGTTTGTGAACCAGTGTGTAGTCATATGCAGAAAGGAAAATTGACCACCTCAACATTCTAGGAGAAATTATGTGTGGGGTTTGCTTATTGGTTGTAAACAACCCCAGCAGTGGCTTATGGTCTATATAGACTGTAAAGTGGCGACCATACAAAAAGTCATGGAACTTTTTTATGCCAGCCACTATGGCCAAGGCTTCTCTATCTATCTGTGCGTAATTACGCTCAGCAGATGACAGAGTCCTAGAATAGTAGGCTACAGGGACTTGTGCCCCATCAGCCTTCAGGTGACTTAAGACAGCCCCGATCCCATAAGGGGATGCATTGCAGGCTATACACACTGGCAGCTGCTCATTGAAATGAGCGAGAACAGCATTTGAAGATAACAATGCCTTGACCTCTGCAAAACTCCTTTCATGGACTTGTGTCCACTTCCATGGAGCCTGTTTGTCCAAGAGCCAGTGTAACGGCTCTGCCACTGCAGCCTTGTGAGGTAGAAAAGAGTGATAGAAATTTAGAAGCCCAAGGAAGGCTTGAAGCTCACTCTTTGACTTGGGCCTGGGGGCCTGCTGAATCACCTTGGGCTTAGATTCAGCAGGATGGATGCCTTCTGCATCTATACGAAACCCCAAGAATTCAGTGGATGTGACTCCAATTTTGCATTTGTCTTGCCTAAGCTTCAGCACCGCTTTGCGGAACTGCAGCAAAACGGACCGAAGCCTCTCAGCCAAGTTTTCGGGAGATTCCCCTACGATGAGGACATCATCGAAGTAAGGGCAAACTCCCAGAATGTTATGGAGCGTTCGCTCCATAATGCTTTGGAAAGTGCCAGGGGCTACGTTAACCCCAAACTGTAGTCTTTTGACTTTGAAAGCTCCCCGGTGCGTTATGATTGTCTGGGCCTCAGCCGTTGCCTCATCAACCGGTAGCTGTTGATAGGCCTGAGCCAAATCAAGTTTGGTGAAGACTCGGCCTCCCTTCAGCGAGGCCAAAATGTGGCTCACCACAGGCACTGGATAAGAGTGCTGCTGTAATGCTTTGTTTAACATGCATTTATAGTCAGCACAAATGCGGACTTCCCCATTGGCCTTCAGTGGCGTAACTATTGGTGTTTCCCATGGACTGCTATCCACAGGTTCCAAAATACCTTGCTGGAGCAGTTTGTCCAGCTCAGCATTAATCTTTTGCTTCAGCGCAAAAGGCACCCGACGAGGCTTAACCCTAATCGCAGCAATGGACGGGTCTAACCGCAAAGCAATTGGAGGCCCCTTGTACGACCCCAGTTCTGGGCTAAACACATCAGCAAACTCCTTGCAAACTTCTGCAAGGCCTGTCGTTTGCAAGCTGTGTAGCCCAGTCACTTGAATCCCAAGTGCCTCGAACCAATTGAGTCCAATTAGACTCGTGCAGTCGCCCTCTACCACAACAACGTCCAGGAACCCTTCAAATTTCCTATGCTGCACCTTGAGCGTGGCCTCCCCTTTTACCCTGACTCTGGAATTCTGAAAGTCTGTTAAGACCAGATTCGACAGCCTGAGTTTAATTCGCTGGCCGCTTCTGTAGCAGATTTGCTTAAGAGTGTCCTGGGATATGATTGACAGAGCTGAACCCCTGTCCAGCTCCATCGTTAAGGGGACCCCCTGCAATTTGACATCAATGCGAAGCTTCTTCTTTAATGGCCTGTGGGCCCCTGTGTTCAAAATGCTCCTGCGGGACGCGCAGAAACCCACCCTATTCTGACTGGGGACCCTGATACCTTTCCGAGGCAATTCTTCCGAAGGACGGTCTTTCGTGCAACCCAAACAGACGGCAGCTATGTGGCCTTGCCTGCCACATGCCCGGCAAATGGCAGAGCGGAAATGGCAATCGGAGCACTTGTGGCGGCTTCCACATCCGAAACACCAAGGGAATTGAACGGCCTTGTCAGCTCGCTCATGGGGCCTCCTCTCTGCTGGCTGCTGTAGGCGGTCGACCTCGTTTTCAGAATCAGGATCAGCTACCTCTCGAGCAACCTCTTGATGGATGGAGCCTGAACTCGTAGGATGCTTGGAAAGCCGCAAGGCCTTAACAGCTCCTCCCGCTGCTTCATCGGCCCTGATTTCCCTTAGTGCTTCCTGGAAGGAAACGTCTTCCTTTGCAAAAATCTTTTGTTGCAACTCACGGCTCCTCAAACCACAAACTAGACAATCTCGAAGTCTTTCCTACAAGTCTTTGAACTCACAGGGCCTAGCAGCTTGTTGCAGCGCAGCAATAAAGTCCGCAGCAGACTCTCCTGGCCTTTGGTCCCGCTGTTTGAATGCGTGACGCCAATCACCGATAGCTTCGGTTCGAAATGTTCCCTTAACATTTTCTTCAGCTCAGTGTAAGCGATGGATTCCAGAGGTGCTGGGGCAACCAGATTCTCGGCAATATCAAATGTCTCTTGCCCACAGACACACAGTAACGTTGCGGCTTTGAGCCCATCTTCCCGAACTTGGTTTACTCGGAAGTAGTTTTCTACTCTGGCCATGTATGAGCTCCAACGTTCAGGGTGAGCTGTATCGAATTCGGACAAACGCCCTATCTTCGACATCGTTACTTCTTAGCGGCCTCGTCAACGCCTCGTGCTGCTCCGGCTTGCGAAGGGGTTCCAGGACGAATCTCGCCGAGCTCTCCTCCAGCGTCTTCGTACTGGCAGGCAGAGTCACACGAATCGGAACGCCGAACTTCCAAGCACTTTGGGCCTTCCGTGGTGAGTCAGCCTATTTTCTTTTCGTTGTTTTCTTGCAGCACGATCCCACCTTCGTCGCCAATGTTCTGTTCTGTGCATTGGTAAGGCATTGAGACGAGGCAGGAGTCACAACAGTTGCTTCTTTATTTAATCTCCAACAGAACAACACAAAATGGCACGGATCCCTTTTATACCCCCTTGCAGGGAGTAGCATCAACCAATCAACGCAACGTATCTTTCTCACCTTGCGCATGCACAATAGGCTGGAGACAGCCTGTCTGGCCCAGGCAGCCACGTGGTCTGCCCGGGTCTCTCTGCAGCTTCCTGCACCTGCTGTGTCAATCACAGCCCAGGACATAACAGATTTCTTGTTAGGTACTCTTCGCAGGTACTTTTGCATTTTAGAAAAGAGATTAGAAGATCCTGTTGTTATTGATCCTATTATTTTAGTACTGTTGAGAGATGCACTGCAATTTCTCCATCTTAAATCTGTTTCTCTCTCTTCCCTCCCCCCCCCCGCCTCTATCATCTCTCCAGTTTGGATTCTTTGAACGCAAGCGTGCACCCCAAATGGATGCAAATGCAGCTGCAGCAGCTGCTCCCAGTGACCAAGCTCCTCCAACTTCAGCTGCTTCCTAAGGGAGGAAGGGTTTCTGGATCTGGATGCAACTTGGAAGCCAGGATTCCCGCCTTGTTTGGAACAGGAATAATACAGCCAGTTGAACAGGGTCAAAAAACAGAGAGGCAGGACCTCTAGATTACTCGGAAATGAATGGGATGGATGGGGAGGGATTGAGAGACGAGAGGGCTAGAAGCTAAGTAGAATTAACTAATTTAAAATTCAAATAAATTTATATTTTAAAAAACAAAAGTATGGTGGCAGTTTTTTGCCCACAAAAATGGTTTGAACAAATTGATACCACTGGGAAAATGACCCACAGGGGGGTCATCCAGGAATGCTCCCACTCTGGAATCGAAGTTGGGGAATACTTCTGTAGGAATTCAAAACATGCTGCTTATGGCACAGTAGCACTGCAGGAGAGCAGTCCAGTTGTCTCTTTCTTGGGTGCCTGCAAGTGCCTGACTCCAAGAGAAGATTTTAGATTTCAGATCATTAAATTCCTATGCACTGCCCATCCCTCTGGTTGACTTGATGGCAAAGAGAAGAATGTTGCCATAGTCATTTCTGAGTGACTGTGTCTCTTTTTTCTTTCTTATGAAATTGCTCTGTGTTCCCCATTTACAGTTCAACAGTGGCTACGCTTGCCTAATGTAGTATGTTTACACATACTGTACTAGCTTTGCACAACACAATAATTTAGCTGTGGTTTGTTATGTTGATTCAATTTCCAGGATTTATACAACTTAGTGTATCATAAACGACTCACACAGAAGGGGTTTTCAGAGCCACTAGATCAGGGGTAGGCAACCTTCGCTCAGCATGGCTGGCTCAGGAATTCTGGGAGTTGAAGTCCACGAGTCATAAAAGAGCCAAGGTTGCCTACCCCTGCACTAGATAGTAGTGGCAGTTTGTGGTTCAATGTGTCATGCGGATGTAGTTAGGATACAGGTACTGCTCACTTAATGAGTGGGTTGTTTTATAACTGTTTTGAAGTTATGAGAGCCGCAGTACAGGTGCTTTATGGCCCACCTCTGGCCATTTAAATTGTCACATTGTTCCCCTCTCCACGGTCACATGACTGCATATCGGATAGTCATCTTTATGACCGGTCATGGCATCCCATGGTCATGTGACTGTTTTGTGATGCTTTTTGCCGGTTTCCAGCAAAAACGCCCACTCAAGTGAATGGGTTCACTTAATGACTGTGACATTCACTTAGCAACTTTGGTGTTTGCTTAATAATCATGATAAAAGCCAGAAAGTTACTTCCAGTCACGTGGGTGCATCTATTTATGACTGCAATGATTTATGACCGTAATTCCAGCTTCAAATGTGGTTGTAAGTCGAGGACTACCTGTAATCCACATAAGGACTGGTTGGGACTTCATATTCCAAGGCAAGTGGGTGCTTTGGAGCACCTGCGTTTGTGAGTTGGTCTTCTGCACCTGCTCAATCCCCACGGGGGCCTCTGCTTCCAAATATATCTCAAAGGGCCAGAACGTGGCATGTTGAGGTCAGCAAAGGCTGACTTCTCCAGTTTAGCTGTTAGTCTCTCTACACACAATCTACAACCTACCCAGCTTGGCAAATCCTAACCAGACAAGAGTTGGAATTTGTTTTGAGAATTCAAAAGACTTTGGGTTTCAAACAGGGCAACCCACTTCTCTGCAGGGAACCCTGGCTCTTTCCAAGTTTTTGTCTCTCTAGCCTGCCCAGGGCTCTGAAGTCAGCCACACTACTGTATCTGGTAGCATCTAGAGAAGGCTGGCTTTTGAAAAGCAGAGTCCAGGCCTTGGTTTGTTCTTTGCATAAGGGGACTTTCCTCTAAATGCTCCTTCTCCATCTGGATTGAAATCAAAATAGCCCACACTTACTGTAATGGCTTTTTGCCTGATGGATAAGAGCAGCCAACCTCCCTTTTTTCTTCCCCTAAGAGGCAGGGCTGAGGGGTTGAGAAAGAGATAATAGACAAGTGGCAAGAGTATTTAGAAACCTCTTGATCTTCTGTACCAATACATTTCAGAGCTGCTGTTTTGAAAATAAGGAAGTTAAAGTGAGTTTAACAGGACCTTCCCATAAGCTCACCGGGATATGATTCAATTTTCTGTTGACATCTTCCTGGGCTCTGCACTATTCACATCAAGCTGCTGCATTTAAGGTTTTCATAGAACGGTGTGGAAACCCATTTTTTTTCCTTCTTGTGCACTAAATTAGTAAATCATTCTTCAAGTACGCATTTTGAAAAATCCCTGGCCTTAATGAAACCCACTCCCTTGGTCCAAAGTTGTGATTTTGGAATGCAAAGTCCCCCTCCCACTCTTCCCTAGCATCCCATGAGCCTTTGCAGGAAGGGAGGCCAAGCAAATGTCTTCCCTCATTAGCTGGATGGGCAACAACTATGGAAGGTATATTTTGCAAATTATATATGTGATGGTGTATCTTGATTTTTCAGTTCCTTTTTCATGGAGGGCAAAGTATGCAGAACAGATTGACCAGGCGTGGTTTAGAATCTCTTTAAAGTTGCATTTAATAATAACCTATTTAACTGACCCATTTTTATTATATTTTTATCCCACATTTAATTCAGAGGTTCAAAACACTACACATAGTCTTTGACTTATGATAACAATTGGGACCAGAATTTTTGCTGCTAAGCAAAGAGGTTTTTTTTTGCCATGGATGTTAAGTGAATCACTGCAGTTATTAAGTGGTTGTTAAGCAAATCACAAGGGCATGTGGGATCCTGGTGATCTAACCCAGTATTTCTTAACCTTAGTTACTTAAAGATGTGTTGACTACAACTCCGAGAATGCTGGCTGGGGAATTTTGGGAGTTGAAATCCACAAATCTTGAAGTAGTCGAGGCTGAGTAATAGTGGTAACTAGATATCTTTAGATGCACACAAATTATTTATACAGGATCGAAACCAAGGAACCAAATTATGCCCATAACTCAGACACTGACTTCGCTACTTTCCAAAGTCTTAGTTTTATCTTAGGAGGTGAGACCAAACAGCAATAGCAAGTCAAGATGGTTTTCTTCTGGGTTTTATTATTAAAATGTGATGCACATTTCATTTCTTCCTGGCTAATCTGCTCTTCCCTCCCCTCATCTCCAAGCAAATTTTAAATCATATTAAATTAACTTCCTCCAATATTCTTGGGCTCTTCTCTTAGAATCTAGACTCTGGACTAAAATTTTTTGAATCCTATACAGTCCCAAATGGTGTTCATCCCACAAAGTCAAATATACACAGACCACAAATGCCAGTACACAATATGACAATGACAGCAGCCATGCGGATGAGTTACTTTCCCGAGATATTCCTCACCCCTGGTTTTCTCACATCCTTCTTATTTATATGCTGATGTATTCACAGGTTAGACTTACTTTTCCAAGGGGTGGGTTTTTCCCCCCCTGTCTCCTACCTCTAGTGACATCCTGAAGACAAATCTGAGCTTAAACCCTTATCTGCTTTCCACTCAGAGAAAGCACAAAGGGTATCATGTAATTTATGGTTAATCTGAGCTTTTTGGTACGTGATAGAATCAGAAAGATCAGCACCCCTGAGCACGTGCAGAAAGCATTTCCTTCACCCCTGAGAAATGATATACCGTATATTCCGGCGTATAAGACGACTGGGCGTATAAGACGACCCCCAACTTTTCCAGTTAAAATATAGAGTTTGGGCTATACTCACCGTATAAGACTACCCCTGTTCCAACGCACACCAAATAAAAAATAAAAAACAGATTTGATTTCAATATGGTAATTTTAATTCAAATGCTTATGACATGCAGGTACTTAGCAGGAAAACTGTCACTTATAAACATAAGGCTGTTTGTCATCAAACATGTAAACATAAAACAGTGCAAGTGGATTAAACTTTTCCTAATTCATTCTAAAGCTGAAAGGAAGGATAAGACAGTAAACCCATGGGAGCTGCCATGCTGTTTGTTTTCTAAGCCAGGGCTTTTCAACCTTTTCACCGATTGCACCACTTTTAGAATATGGCAACATTCGAGTACCACCAGTCACCCAGCAAGGTGTCAAAAGCTTGATGACAAAAAAAAAAATGGAAAAAAGTGATAAAGTACAGGTAGTCCTCAACTTACAACAGTTTGCTTGGTGACTGTTCAAAGTTACAACGGCACTGGAAAAAGTGACTTATGACCATTTTTCACACTTATGACCA